AGTTATATGAACAGGTGCATATACTCTACTTCCTCACGTGTCTCGGTACGCAAACCTAAACTCGTGTGCGCATGTCATCTCACATGTAAAGATACAGGTTATACATAAATTTCTAATACCCGTCATTCGAGGCGACTCCTCGTTCATATTTAAGCACGCAACGACAATAAACATAAATAGATTTCAGTTAAACTGAAATAACTCAAACAGATCTAAAATGAAGAAATACAAAAGAAGAAAACTCCTTATCAGTCGACTCATTGGTCGACTTATCAGTTGACTCATGAGTCGGCCAGACAAAGCACACAAAAACTGAGATTTTTCCCATCAGTCGACTCATTGGTCGACTCATCAGTCGACTCATGAGTCGACTCATTGGTCGACTGAGCAAAAAATCCCTAGTTTTCTGCTTTCGATGATAATCTGTAAAAACGTTAACTCAAGTTCTCTATAATCATGTCCAGCAATGAATATCCGATTCTAACACATGTATATTAACAGAAACGAAAGATTTACATGTAATATTTTACATTAAAACCCTAAACAAATCTTTTCATGTTTGAAAAAGTATTGAAACCATTAAATAACAATAAAACACATGTTTAAACAAATTCCAGATCTGGGTTTAAATTTACAAATTCGTTGGTGAGCTTTTATAAACTAAAAACATTCGATTTTCGCATCATATGCTAGGAAGATCTATTTTTATACACAAATAGTGATTTAGGCTCAATAAAACCAAATTAAACCCAAATAAAAGCATACAAACAGTGGGTATAGGATTGGGTGAGATTTTACTCGCCTCTGGTGTGCTGACCAACTCCTGAATCCGAGAGGGAAAGATCTCCTATGCAGCACCTCGACAAATCTTGCTGAAATCCTCCAAAAAATCCCCCAAAAATCGCCAAAAGGAACTAGGGTTTGAGGGGAGATGAAGGCTAGGGTTTCTCTGGGTTTCTGATGGGTTTTTGGGTTGGTTTCGGGTAAACTAATATATATATATATATATTACGGTTAAAACCCGAACAAAACCCAACCAAACCCGCAACTAAAAGAAAACCCAAAATCTGCCCGTCAGTCGACTTATAGGTCGACTCATCAGTCGACTCATTAGTTGACTCATGAGTCGACTCATAAGTCGACTGAGCAGAGACTAAAACCAGATTTCGTGCATGTTTTGCTATTCAGCCAAAACCAATGCACGAAACCCTATGAAACCACACTCATACATATTTAATGACTTGTTATCAAGTATATTCATGACCTCAAGTCATTTACCACAAATAGAATTATTTATCACTAATAATTCACATATACTTCTAATAAAATACGGGGTTCTACAGATGTGATGAAGTTTGATGAGATGCACAAGTAGCAACATTGTTAGACTTTATGGAATTTTGTGTATTATAACAAAATTTAGCAAGATGGTCTTTACGGCCGCAAATAGAGCATTTGTAAACTTTGTTATATATATGTTCATAGTGTGTTGGTTTCTTGGAAGAATTTACACATGACTTTGTACACAAGTCCATAAGCTTATTATTATTTATAATGCATATTTTTAGTGTTGAATCTAAAGATGATATGCAATTTTTAACATGATTCAACTTATTTTCTTGCACAAATACATTGTTATTAGAAGTAGAACATATATCATTATTTTTAAAAGAATTAAACTTATTTCTAATATTCTCTACTTCTAATATGGCATTGTTCTTCTCATGAGATAAACTAGCAATTTCAATTTTTAATTTTTCATTTCTCTCTTCAAGATTAACATTTTCATTAGCAATGACATCAAACTTAGATGCTAGAGTCTCATGATTGAATTTTAAATTAACATGCTTGCTTTTCATATCAATAAAATTTTTATGCAACTTTGTGTAGGCATGCATTAACCTATCATATGCACATGCGAGTTCGCTAATAGATAATTCACTTTCGAATTTCGAATCGCATACCACACTCTGGCTATCCTCAGTGGCCGAGTGCATGATGATGATGCTCCCTCCTTACTTGAAGTAGATTCCGCCAAAGCGCGTCGAATCTCCTCCAAGTTTCCTTGACGTGCTTCTATAAATTTCCATAATGTATAAGTACTATCAAAAAAACCAAGCTTGTTAGATATAGATGAGTCAAAAGCATTAAGCAAAAGTATAACAAGAACTTGTTTATTGTAAATATTTTCTTATCATGTTTGCTCCACTTGGATTTCTCCAATGTGGGCATAATATAAGCACAATCGATAATTTCTCATAAATTAAAGTATCTAGATCTAACAAAGAGTTTAAATCTAACACACCATTGGGCATAGAAGAAACATCTAATCTAGAAGCAACATTAATGGCATAACCTAAGCTAGGTGCATAATGCATATCCATGATATATAAATGCAAGCAATATAAAATTATCAAAACTAGATTAGCAAAATCAAAGTGAGGGTCTTTGACTCTAGCCGATTAAGCCACAAATCAAAGAGTACCAAGATCCGATACCAAATAAAATTACCCTAGAGGGGGGTTGAATAGGGTATATGCTAATCTAATCCGATATTAATGCCAAATTAAAAAACATATTAACAATTATCCTATTAATTTTGATATACAACAAATTATATGAAAGGATGTGTATTTAGAACAAGGGCGATATAAATATGAGATAATGGCGATATAGAAAGCAATAAGAAATATGCACAAATAATATGTCAAGGCAAACTCAAACACACAATATGATTATGGAGTTCGGTTACCCTTGACCTACGTCTCTGCTCCTCATTCACGAGGAGAATCTCCACTATCACAACCGGTTTTCAACGTTCACCGAAAACATTTACAAGTCACACAATCAGTTTTCTATCACACCGAAAACTTTCACAACTCACACAATTGTAATCACACAATACACCCTCTAAGTGTCAGCCTAGCCCGTGTCAACTTCCCCAAGTGCTCAGATTTATAACCTCTCCTTAGGCTTTACTACCGATGCCACTCCTCTTGGAATTGACCTCGTCTCTCACCACACACTCCTCTCGGTGTACTTGTATATTACAATATGATGTCACAAACAAACTCTCAAGTACAAGGGTTTGTTCTCTACAATGGATGAGAATTCAATGTAAGCATACTCAATCACATCACCAACCCAAATTATACAATGTATGAAAATACTCAAGCTCAATAGTTGTGTGTGAAACAATAAATAACAATAAAACTAAACTTAAATCAAACTTGCACAAATATATATATATATATATATATATATATATATATATATATATGAATCAAAATGTAAATATGCTAGAAGATAAGTTTAGAGAAACTTCTCCAAGAATCAAGAGTGAGAGAGTATGAGATTGAAGCCCAAACACCAAAGATATGATCTCCTCCTCTTGTGAAACTCTCTTCATACAAACACTTGTAAAACAAACTTAAAACACTCTTAATCACTTATAAAAACTTGTTTAAAACTTTTTTAAGTAGGTTCAAAAGTTTGAGGGTAAGGGGTATATATAGGTTCACAAAACAAACCCTAAAAATTAAAGAAAAAGACAAAAACAGCAAAATCTAGAAAATAGTCGTTACTGTGCAACAGCTTTGTTGTAAGTCGACTTATAAAAGGTATGAGTCGAATTATATAGTATAAGTCGACTTGTTATATTATGAGTCGACTCAGAAGATTAAAAACCATCTACGCAATACTTTATAAGCCGACTTGGTAATGTAGCAAGTCGACTTAAAACGTGCACAAGACCTGATATGAATAATAAACATCAACTTTGAACCCTCTTTAAAAATATCAAATAAATTCCATAAATTATTAAACTTTGGGAAATGTTTATAAACACGAAAATGAACATGTTACAAAAAGAACTTTTAGAATTGCATTTTCTAATTGTGAAAACTTGTTATTTTACAAAATAGTCCAAAATACGAAAACTCAACCCACTTGAAAATTTTCAAACAAAATTGTATATTCATTTTGAATAGATTAATGGACTTAGGAAAAGATATAAAATAGTGTAAACAAGTCTTTAATCTATAAACATACTATTTTCCAAAAAAAATCAATAAATAGGAAACTAATAGATATGTATATGTATATAACTATTAGTTCCATATTTATACGATTTAAACTTTAAACTTGAAAGCTGTAAAACGAAAGAATGTATGTGTGTGATAATTAAGCTTTAAAGTATAACACACACGGTATAAGACCTAAAATAGAAACAATATACCCAAGCTTGATGATCTTCGATAAAGCTCGACTTGGTTGCGGATGAAGCTTGATCTTGAATTTGACTTTGAATTGAAAATAGCTTCATTCTGATATTCTGCCAACCTCCATTGAAAGTCATTGTTAAGGCGCAATCCATCCAACATCGATGTTTGTCAACAATACCTAATAAATAAATATAAACACTACACAAACGATGTTAGAGATTGTTTGTAAATCATCAAAACAAGATTAGACCGTAGGATCATAAACATGAGACCTAACAATATCCTCCTTTTTGATGATAACAAACAATCTACACAAAAAGATATATAATATGCATGATATCAAATGAATATACAAATTATGATCCTCATGCATAAAACTAATAGGAAGCAATAAAAGAAATACTCACAATTGACTTGTTTCTCCCCCTTTGTCAACACCAAAATAGGGAAAATAATAAAAGATAAGAGAACATAAGCTCTCCCTATAAATTAGCATAGGTGAGTATAAAATAAATATAAGGAAAAAGCTCCCCCTATCAAAAAGCCACATAGAATATATGAATTGAAATACTAAGGCATTCATATGTGAGAATATATATATATATATATATATATTTTATTTGGAAAGGTGGATTCCATGCTTGTAGTTTGGACCAAATTTGTAGACCTCGAAAGGAGGGAGGCTTGGGGCTAAGACGGATTAAAGACACCTCAAATGCTGCTGGAATAAAATTACTCTGGAGGCTAAGTACAACAAATAATTTATGGAAAAGCTGGATGGAAAAAACTTATTTTCCTCAATCTTGTATAAGCACTGCTAATGCCAAGATACTTGATTCAGGGACATGGAAGTTTATTATTCAATCCAGAGATCTTGTCTCTCCCTATCTACAGTGGTCTGATGCTACTACAAACTGGAAATGGATAAGTAATTCTACAGCAGGGTTCACATTTAGTTCAGCTTGGAATATATGCAGATCTTTACACCCTCAGACTCAATTTTATGATATATTATGGCACCCCAAAAATTGCCCCAAGTTCTCTCACTGCCTCTACAAGGCTTTAATTAACAGATTGCCGACAAGAGAGCGCTTATGCAAGATTGGCATTATTCAGGAGTCATCTTGTATTCTTTGCAAGCAAGATGTTGAGACCACCAAACATCTCTTCTTCGAATGTGAATTTTCTAAGTACATTTGGTCTTTATCCAGGCTGAAGATTGGAATAAACAGCCCTCAAATGGGTTCAATCTGCGAAGAGGCTCTGTTGATCCAGCAAAGATTTAAGGGTAAAAGTTGTGTCTATACCTTACCTAGATTAGTTCTTGCAGGAGCTACCTGGCACATCTGGCAGGAGCGGAACAGAAGGGTTTTCCATCATCAAGAACTTAGTAAGATTATGGTTTTTAGACGGCTTTATGAGGACATCCTCGTGCTTATGAGGACATGCCAGCGGAAGATAGGTAATGACAGAGAGAAGGCTATCATTATGAGTAACTGGAGCTGATGATCTTTGCTTGGCTTTTTGTGGTTGTTGTGACCTAGGATTGATACTTCTCATTCTTATTCCTTGTATCAGGCATGATTTAGTCTGTTTGGAGATTGCATCTGACGAAGTTTTATTATTTTGCTTCACAAGGCTAAAATGTGTATATGTACTTTGAGTTACTTGATTCAATAAAATATTTTACCTTGCAAAAAAAAAAAATATATATATATATATATGAGAAAAATGGGTATGCTTGGTACCAAGCACACAACTCACATACGAAAGATACCAAGTGAAGACTTATATATGTACCATTAAGACAAAGTGTTACAAGGATTTTAAACACAAAAAAATCCCAAAGATGAAAATCAAATATTCAAAAATTAAAAAATTTAAATGTTTGATAAATATATCCACAAGTTCACAAATCATTAAACATAAATCATGATTGATTGAGCACACACATAGATATATTATCATGAAAATTGTGTCTTAATACACAAACATCTATAGATTTATGAAATCAAAAGACTGGAAAAAAATGAGAATCATGAAAGATATTTTCAAATGAAAACAAGTCATGAGAACCATGAAAATCATGACAATCATGAAAGTCCAAATGAATATCAAAACAATCAAATGAAATCATAAATCATGATCTAAACCATAATCTAAACCATAATAACATCAAAACGTGCTTAATCTATAAATTATCATTTTTGAAGAATAAGTGATTAAACAACTAGTAATGTCAAAAACATTTATATGTTTTATCCATAAAGATTAGAAGAATTATGCTTAGTATAAAACAAATAAAATTAATATTTGACATATCCAAGAAGAAAGACGAGAGAGGCAACTGTATCATTTCAACCCATATTTACATGAAACGTAAGCATGATAATTATGTGAGTAAACATAAAACACTAATCACATAAAAGTACATTATAAAGTACAAATGATTATCCATAAGCTCAAACACATAAATATCATCATAAAAGTATTTTTTAATGATCTCATAAGTACAAACCAAATTATATCAAAAACTACATAGTTCAAACCAATATTACAACTATATAAGAATCATGAACTATGGTTTTGTTTCAAAATCTGAAAATAAATCATTTAAAATTTTTCAACAATGTAAATGTATATATATTTGAAAATACTTTCTTTTAAAGAGAAAATATGTGGTTTTAAAAATCTTATCAATTTACATTGTTATAAAAATATGAAACCTAAATATTTAAAAAAATACAAAATAAATATAATCAATTTTGTTTTGGTACCCAAATATTTTTGATGGCGACAAATTTAGGGGCATGACCCCTACCATTAAAGCTCAAAGCCCTTGGGTTATTGATCCTATTTGGGCGCATTTGGTTCACGAACACAGTCAAAACAATAATTATACAAATGACATTTTCGATTGTAATATGTGCAATGAAATGGTTGAAATAATTTGTGTTGACCTTGTGGTTGTGCACGGAAATCATTTGCAAACATAGATGGTCTTTTAAATTTATTTTGCAAATGAGAAACTCTTTTTAAATCGAAACAATATTTGGTCAAATGACCAAGTCTACCATAATAATCATATTTGTACACATTAGCATGCCTATGATGAGATTCGTGTGCATGAGCATGTGCATGATGTGGTGAAGCTTGACGGGATGCACAAGTAGTAACATTGTTAGACTTTATGGATTTTTATGCATTATAACGAAATTTAGCAATATGGTATTTACAGCTGCAAATAGAGCATTTGTAAACTTTATTATACATGTGTGCATAGTATGTTGGTTTCTTAGAAGAATTTACACGGGACTTTGAACATAAGTCTATAAGCTTATTATTATTTACAATGCATATTTTTAGTGTTGAATCTAAAGATGATATGCGATTTTTAACATGATTCAACTCATTTTCTTGCACAAATATGGCATTGTTTTTCTCATGAGATAAACTAGCATTTTTAATTTTTCATTGCTCTCCTTAAGATTAACATTTCATTAGCAATGACATCAAACTTAGATACTAGAGTCTCATGATCGGATTTCAAATTAACATGCTTGCTTCTCATATCAATAAAAATTTTATGCAACTTTGTGTATGCATGCATTAACCTATCATATACACATGCGAGTTCGATGATAGATAATTCACTTTCGGATTCTGAATCGCATACCACACTAGGGCTATCGCCTAGTGGCCGAGTGCATGATGATGATGCTCCCTCCTTACTTAAAGTTGATTCATCCAAAGCGCATAGAACCTCCTCTAAGTTTCCTTGATGTTCTTTTATAAATTTTTCACAATGTATAAGCACTATAAAAATAATCAGGCTTGTTAGATATGGATGAGTCAAAAGCATTAAGCAAAAATTCTAACAAGAGCTTGTTCATTGTAAACATTTTTTTATCATATTTGCTCCACTTGGATTTCTCCAACGTGAGCACAATATAAGTACAATCGATAATTTTTCATAAATCGAAGTGTCTAAATCTAACAAAGAGTTTAAATCTAACACGCCATTGGGCATAGGGGAAACCATCTAATCTAGGAGCAACATTAATGGTATAACCTAAGCTAGGTGCACCATGATTATCCATGATATATAAATGCAAGTAATATAAAATTATCAAAACTAGATTAGCAAAATCAAAGTGAGGATCTTTGGCTCTAGGTGATTAAGCCACAAATCAAAGAGCACCAAGCTCTGATACTAAATAAAATTACTCTGATACCAAAAGAAATTACCCTAGAGTGGGGAGGAGTGAATAGGGTATATGCTAATCTAATCCAATATTAATACAAAATTAAAAAGCATATTAACAATTATCCTAGTAACTTTGATATACAACAAATTAAATGCAAGGATATGTAATTAAAACAAGGGCGATATAAATATTAGATAATGGTGATATAGAAAGCAATAAGCAATGATCACAAATAATACGTCAATGCAAACTCAAACACATAATATGATAACGGAGTTCGGTTATCCTCGACCTACATCTCCACTCCTCACTCACGAGGAGAATCTTCATTATCACAACCGGTTTTCAACGTTCACCAAAAATGTTTAGAAGTCACACAATCAATTTTCTAGCTCACCAAAAATTTTCACAACTCACACAATTGTAATCACATAATATATCCTCTAAGTGTTAACCTAGCCCGTGTCAACTTCCTTAAGTGCTCGGATTTACAACCTCTCCCTAGGCTTTACTACTGATGCTACTCCTCTTAGAATCGACCCCGTCTCTCACCACACACTCCTCTCGGTGTACTTGTGTACTACAATGTGATCTCACAAATAAAAGCTCAATTAGAAGGGTTTGTTCTCTATAATGGATGATAACTCAATGTAAGCTCACTCAATTATACCACCAACCCAAATTATACAATGTATGAAAATACTCAAACTCAATGGTTGTGTATGAAACAATAACTAACAATAAATCTAAACTTAAATCAAACTAGCACAAATATGTATATAAGAATCAAAATGTAAATATGCTAGAAGATAAGTTTAGAGAAACTTCTCCAAGAATCAAGAGTGAGAGAGATTGAGATTAAAACCCAAACACCAGAGATATGATCTCCTCCTCTTGTGAAACTCTATTCATATAAACACTTGTAAAACAAACTTAAAACACCCTTAAACACTTATAAAAACTTGTTTAAAACTTTTTTTAAGTAGGTTCAGAAGTTTCAGGGTAAGGGGTATATATAGGTTCACAAAACAAACCCCAAAAACCAAAGAAAAAGACAAAAACAACAAAATCTAGAAAATACCAGTTACTGTGCAACGACTCTATTGTAAGTCGACTTATGACAGGTATGAGTCGACTTATATAGTATAAGTCGACTGGTTATATTATGAGTTGACTCAACAGATTAAAAACACTATATGTGCAACACTTTATAAGTCGACTTGGTACTGTAGCAAGTCGACTTAAAACGTGCATAGGACCAGATATGAATAGTAAACATTAACTTTGAACCCTCTTTAAAAATATCAAATAAATTCTAAAAAATATAAAACTTTAGAAAATGTTTATAAACATAAAAATGAACATGTTACAAAAAGATAATTTCAAATTGCATTTCACAATTGTGAAAACTTATCATTTTTCAAAATAGTCAAAAATAAAAAAACTCAACACACTTGAAAATTTTCAAACAAACTTGTATATTAATTTTAAATGGATTAATGGACTTAGAAAAGGATATAAAATAGTATAAACAAGTATTTAATCCATAAACACATTATTTTCCAAAAACAAAATTGATAAATAGGAAACTAGTATATATGTATATGTATATAACTAATAGTTTCATATTTAAACGATTTAAACTTTAAACTTGTAAGCTATAAAATGAAAATGTGTATGTGTGTGATAATTGAGCTTAAAAGTATAACACACATGGTATAAGACCTAAACTAGAAATAATATACCCAAGCTTGATGATCTTCGATAAAGCTCGACTTGGTTGCAGATTAAGCTTGATCTTGAATTTGACTTTAAATTGCAAATGGCTTCATTCTGATATTCCACCAACCTTCATTGAATGTCATTGTTAAGGCGCAATCCATCTAACCTCCAACATCGATGTTTGTCTATAATACCTAATAAACAAATATAAACACTAGATAAACGATGTTAGGGATTGTTTGTAAATCATCAAAACTAATTAGACCATAGGCTCATAAACATGAGACCTAACAATCTTCCCCTTTTTGATGATTACAAACAATCTGTTGGACCCTAGAGGGGGGGGGGGGGATTAGTTAGAGGGGGAGGGGGGTGATTAGGGTCTTATGCTAATCTAATCTGATTTAAATGCCAATTAAAATTAATTAACAAGTATATTCTTGCAAGATAGATATACAAGAGTTATAAGCAAGAATAAGCAATATGAATAAAGATATATATCCTATATGATAAATATATGCAAGGATATATAAACTAGCACGAGATGATATATCCTACCAAAGAGATATACAATAT